GCATTGGAGGTATATAGGCTGACCGTCGTTTCATTGAACGAAGTTTTTTCGCCAGGGACACTAGATGAGTATAACTTATTCTATACATTAGAGTCCTATGTAGTCACTTTATAGTTAGAGCCTATTTGTGTATGTGTACTGTGTTGTCCTTTATGGGCCGATGAAGGCTAATCGCCGCAACGTCCTTTGTTTGTTTATTGTGATCGATTTTGTAAAGCTAACATAAACTAATTGTTGTTACTTACGAACTTTTTCTCTTCCCTATAATTTTCTACTCCTTATAAGAAAATAGCAATTGATATGACTTACCCTATAGAATCATGACCTCATATTTTCTGAAGTCTGCCTCACAAGTCTGCCTCACAAGTTTCAATTTCTTTTAATACCCATTCAGGGAGCTGATAGTGGAACAGCCTTTTCCTACTCTTATCAGGCCGAATTTTATTGTCAAGACTGCGTTTAAGAGGTCAAATTTCATTCTGTTTCTTAGGTTAGATTTGATAAATTAACTGCAAATGAAAACTCTAGAAAAACATCTACCATCTAAACGCCAAAACCCCATCTAAATGCAAAGGAAAACATCTAAATCTGGATGTCAAACATCCAAAGTGGCAACACTGTTTTCTTACGTTCAAAATAGTCAGGGGAAACTACTGCCGCGTCTTGTAGACGCCGATGTGAATGTTTTGACTGCTAAGCATCGCGACAGTACACAACGAGCAAAGTAACAATATTAATAATAATTATTATATCACATATAAATCCTTATCCAGGCTGTCAGTTTAGTATTTGTTATGTTATTGTGTGTGGTCAAATAATAAGTAAACAATACCAGGTGATTAAAAGGAACTGATCCTTTCCTTTAGACCGAGAAGCGGCAAGTTGAAGGAAAAACTCGCAAAATTTCATGAGAGATTAGGACCCATCCCGAAACCCCAGCCGACATTTCCGAAGCAAGTTTCAAACATTTTCCATGGTAACGGAAATTGCCAAAAAGATCGCAAATTTCCGAAACTGTAGTCGCTAGAAATCCTTGGTTTTGAGCTCCTGGAGGTTTAGCATCAGAGGCCCAAGGGGTGGTAATGAAATTTTTTATTTCACAAGTGTAAGACATTAAAACAGACCATACTAATTTAATTGCAGCGCAACATACACATATTAAACATCAAGGTGACAACAAATAATTGCTTTAGTAAATAAACAGACCATATGTTTACAAAAATTGGCTCTCCTCTGAACTTCTACCCCGGCATTATGGCGGCCAAACAAATATCCTAACAGGGCCTCAGTCCTATGAAAAATGCGGACTTCTCCGACTTCCTGCCGAGCGGCAAAACTAGGATCGGCTCCGTATAACGAAACAAATGCTCTAACAGGGTCTCAGCGATATATTAATTGCGGACCTGTTTCTGTGACTATGCCTCATCGCCGACCGTATCTCCCACCCCACTACGCGAATGGGGGCTAAACTAGATGGCTGGGACTCATGAGCAGCAGCCACCGCATCTCCTGCAACTTCCTCCATTTTATTTGCTTGTGAGTCCCAGGCATCTAGTTTAGCCCCAATCCACGCCGCTCACGCGGCGTGGGTGATACAATTCATTGGTGGCGTTATAGTCCCCGGAAGTGCGCAATTAACACATGGCTGAGGCCCTGTTTAGGTATATTTCCCGCCTCGATAATTAAGGACCGTTATTCGGAGGATAGCCAAACAAATTTCCACTTACCACCATGGCACTAAAAAAAAACTGGTTTAAATGTATCCAAAATGAATTACAAATGAATATGAACCACTTAGTAATGTATAAGTAAAATATAAACTTAATCTATACATTAGATTATGTTCCAGATAATCTTTTGAAGCATCATAACAGAGCACGGCTATTCTCAGAATAACGGTCCCAAATTATCGAGGCCGAAAATGTACCCTAACAGGGCCTCAGTCACATGTCAATTGCGGACTTCCGCCGACTTAAATTGCGCACTTTTAGCGGCTTCCGTCACCGCCGAGAATATCTCCCACGCCACTACTCGTGGCGTGGATTGGGGCTAAACTAGATGGCTGGGACTCATGAGCAGCAGCTACCGTATCTCCTGCAGCTTCCTTCATTTTATTTGCTCGTGAGTCCCAGGCATCTAGTTTAGCCCCAGTCCACGCTGCGCACACATTAGACATATCCCTCATCAAAGTTTGACTCCATAAATGACTGAAACACGCCTAATTCACAACATTATCTATCCAACTTCTGATAAATCTAAAAAAACACATACTTTATTTAAATTTTAGGCTTCTAAGGCCATAAATCACGTTGGCATGCACGTAGAATAGTGCTTGGTGGCCATATTCTTTTCTAACAAACACTTAGTAATTTGGAAATCTCACAAATATACTATATTTTTGGTTTTCAACCCACGTTTCTAAATGAGCACGATTGATATCAGTCACAAAGAACTCGGAAGGAAGTTGAAATTGAGCGATCCAAGTTTTACAACCGGTCAGTGGTAGATTAAAAACCTTTAATTGTCACGTGTCGATTGGACTGCTAGGTTGAAACAAATTAGCGCGTGATGCGTTCTCTGGGATTTAAAGAGTTAATTCACTTTCAGATTAAACATGAGACTTCTTACTCATCATCATCAATCAGTAAGTCCTTTATAGAACGTTGCTCTATTCACGACACGCTTGAAAGTATCCCTTTCCCTAGCCAGCTCTCCGGTACCATGTGCTTTCATTGCCAATGCATCTTCAATGTCTTTTATCCATCTTCGTGGTGGTCAACCCCTGCCTCGCCTTCCACAGACTGCACCTTCCATTACCGTCTTTTCCAAGCCACCATGACGCTTGATGTGGCCAAAATACTTCACAACTTTAGGGACAGGATGCTGTTTATGAGCCAGTTCTCATTGATTTTCAGCTCGTTCAGAATGTCGATGTTTTTCCTCTTCCTGGTCCATGGTATTCTAAGAATTGTTCTATAGCATTTCACTTCAAACGCTCCAATCTTTTTCCTCAGTGACTGAGTGAGAGTCCAAGACTCACAACCGTAAGTTGCCACAGAAAAAATGCATGATCTCAAGATTTTTACTTTAACCAATTTTCTAGTGCTTTGCCAAAGGTTCTTCGTGTTATTTAATCTTTGCATTGCTAATGCAAGTCTTCTTCTGACTTCTTTTGAGCAGTAGCCACTGTTGTTCATTAAAGAGCCCAAGTATTCTAAATCTGTTTAATTTTCTATTTCTTCATTTTCGATTGCGATACGTGGTTGGTGTGTGTCTTTAGTGAGGACATATTATTTTTTTTTTAAAATCCAGAAAAAGATTCACTTCTTCACTGTTTTTTTACGGCCAGAATTAATTTTTCTAATCCTTGTACACTGTTGGAAATGAGAACTGTGTCGTCTGCATATCTGAGTTCTGGGATAGGATTACCTCCAATTTTTAGTGGATCAGAGATCTCACATGCCTCGTCGGTTATTGTGTTTCTCATAGCATTTTCAGAATTTGTGTTAAAGAAGGAAGGTAAAAGAATACAGCCCGGTCTCACTCCTTTCTGCATTTCTGCACTTCAAATCATTCTGATGTTTCACCAGCTACTATGACTGCTGCTTATTGTTCGTGGTAAAGGGATTCCATTAAGTGCACCAGATTATTTGGAAATCCCATGCCTCTCATTATATGCCAAAGTTTATGGTGCTGCATACAATCAAATGCCTTGCTGTAGTCTATGAAACAACGTTTACTTCTTACTACATCTCAAATTCTTATTCTTCTTTTTTTCTTTGCGCTCACCAGCTGTAAACTATGGTGGAAAGTTCTGGTTGTTCGTCCACTTTTGGACTGCAGTCCTGTTTCAGAACCAGAGTGTGTTGTGTGTGCATCCATTTCACAGATCTGACACATTTGTGTGCAGAATGTTAGTTCCTTGCCTCTTAGGCAGATGCACTCTAACTTTGAAGGAAGCTCCCACCTAGTCGACTCTTACCACATGTTTTTGGGTAAGCAGTGGGTCTATTCTTGTTTTCCCTATAATAGGGCCCAGGAACCCACAAAGGGGTCATCTCAAATTGAAATGGGGTGCTGTGTGGTCTCAAGGCATGGTTTCCGCCTTGAGTGCTAGAGGTTCCGGGTTCAATTCCCTGTAAGGGCTGGGATCTTTTCTCGTTGACTTGGACTTCTAGTAATTCCCCCGGGTATCTGAGTAGTAAGATTGGATGCCTGTTTGCCTTTTTTGCACCAATCAATAGCAACATAATGATAATGTAAAACAGAATAAACACACTTTTTCTTTTCATTTGTTCTCCAATCAGTTTGGGGCAAAAATAGGATAAGAGTATGTTAAAAAACTGTGAAACTGGCATTTTTAGTACACACTAAAATAGTGGTATCTGGGAAAGTGCAAGGGTGAACGGGCTTCGTAGTCAGTGGGATAAAACTTCAGGAATCTGAAATTCTAGTGTGTTTTTTCCCCACTTATTTTTCTTCTATCTTTTTTACCTATTTGGACCCCGTTGAAGCTCATCAGGTTTGAATTTGACTAAAATAATGTCCAAAGAACTTTGCGTCTGCCATCTCCTCAGGATTTTTCGGAAATGCGACATTGTCTGGTCGTTCAAGACAATTCTATTGCAGCTTAAATGGGCTTTGTTGGGGCAATAGAGGTGGTACTTTTTTTGCAAAGATTTTAACATCCATTGATTCAGCAAACATTTCCTGTGTGAGATAGAATGATTCATTTTGACTCACAGAAGTTCTAGCATGCAGGTCGTAATTCCAAATAAAGGTCAAATGCCAACACAACTTTTCAAGTCTAAATAGGACACATGCCAAGTTGGACTTTTTCCAAAGCGGATGTATACTAAGATACCACTGTATATGAACTCTTAATAAACCCCCTGACATTTGTTTTAATCATATATTTTATTTACTAAAATGCTTGTGCCTTGAACTTTATTTCCAGATTAGTTTCTTCAGTATGAAACCTGGCTGACAATATTGCAAACATGGATACAGCAGCTCTTGATGATGATGATGTACAGATTGTTAAAGTTAGTCCTTCAAAGGTATTAGTTTTGCCAATCGGAACAGTTTTTGTGAAGGAATTTGTCCAGTTATTTTGTTTTTGTTTTTCATGATTAACATTTGACGGCATTGTAATACAACTGGGCTTTCACAATAGGAAACAGAGGTTTAAGTTCTGTAATCCTTGTGTGTGCAGCCAGAACAACTACCAACACGGGCGCTACACATGAAGGGTTCTGAGGTAAAAGCAAGAGGAGGCCGCCCTAGGAGAAGATGGAATGATGACATTAAAGAGCTTCTGTATCGACATGGAATGACAGTAGCCATTGCTGCCCATCAAGCAATGGATCGCAAATTGTTCCTCCCCTCAACTCTTAATGGCAGAAGTGGAAGTTGATGGTGATGATGAATCCTTGTCTAGGTTTTGGGGTTCCATTTTGTAGCACACAGAATAGACCCACTGCCCCCCTCCCCCCCCCCCCCCCCAAACAAGTATGTTCATTGAAGGTAACTAATTAGGGGTGTTTTTTTTTAAAGTCAGAATGTACTTACCTTAGGGGTGAGGAACCAACAGTCTGCATACAAGTAAATCAGATCTGTTGAATGGATGTGCATGCAGGACTTAAGTTCTGGAAAAGAACTAGGGTCCAGAAGTGGGCAAACAACCAGATCTTCGCTGGAGTTTACAGCCAGTGATTGCTATAAAGTTTCTTTTAAAGTCTTAAGTTTTTTTTTTTTTTTAATATACTAGTGATAGAGTAACAGTCCAGCCAGTTACTCTTTCAGTCATCTCAAAACCCTTGCAGCTGACACCAGTATTGGTATCTGAAAGTGTGCGCCATAATTTAATTGTAATAGTTAGCTGCCTGATCTGATCAGCCTGCAGTAGTTGGAGATTATAGTGATGCAGTTATATATATATATATATATATATATATATATATATATATATATATATATATATATATATGTATATATATATATATGTATATATATATATATATATATATATATATATATATATATATATATATATATATATATATATATATATATCTGTGTGTGTGTGTGTGTGCATGCATGTATAAATCACCTTCTTCCTTCCCTCTCTCTCTGTGGTGAAGGGTTTTTGTCTTTTTACAGTTAATTTATATTTTGTCTGTCATTTTTTTTAAATATCTGTTCATTACAAGAACTAAATATGAATTAGTTTTATAATAACTCTTTTCATACTGTGGCTCTGATTGTGGCAGATGTCTTTGATTGGTTTTCCATAGTCTTGCACTGTCTCTTAACTTTCCCAGTAAAAAACATGCCTGTGTGTTTTTTTTTTTTAAAATTATTGTCTTCTTCTTTGTTCACTATCTATAAGCTCCAGCAGAAAGTCCTGGTTGTTTGTCCATTTGGACTTTGGTGTTGTGCCAGATCCTGAGTTTTGCGTGTTTATCCGTTTTACTGGCTTATTTTTGTGCAGTTGATTGTTGCTTACCGCTCGGGCAGATGCACTCTGACTTCAAAGGAAGCTCACACTTAGTCGACTCTTACGACATGCTTTTTGTGTGTGTGTGTGTGAAGGCAGTGGGTCTGTTCTTGTTTTCCTCAGAATGGGACCCCAACACATACACAGGAAATTCTGTTTATATAATCTTACCTGTCTGCCTTGGTAGACCATTGCAGTAAATATCTGAGGTACCATCATAGGAGCACCTAAGCTCCTTCACTGCCTCAAGGTGTGAATCCACATGAGGGGACCACATTTGTTTCTGCTGTGTTAGACATACAAATCAAATAATAAAACCAGCTGCCATTTTAGTGATGAAAGCAGATGAAGAAGATGATAGAAATAAAAACAGAGCAGTGGCCAAAAATATGTTTAGTATTGTAAAAAAATATATTAAAATCTAGAGGAATTAAAAAATCTGAAAATCGTCAGATTTTATATATATTCAATGTGACTATATAATGCAAAAACCTAGACAGTGGGCAATTAATTAAAAAGGGAAATTTAATCCTTGTGATGTAGATATACATACGTAAGAATGTCTATCTTCATGAAAGTAAAAATAATCAAATACAGAGGATTCAGAAGTGATACAAAAACAGATTTAAAAAAAAAAAAGAAAATAGAGAAAAGTGAAATATTTCGGCAGGATAACAGACAGAATACTCTTATTAAAAAAAAGAAAAAAAGAAATATACAGTAGTACAAATGGGAATAAAACATTACAAAAAATGATAGGGAGCATTCTGTCAGAATATACCCTGAGTGAGAGTATTGGAGAGCCAACTTTGTAGAGATGAAATATTATTGATTAAAATTGTATCCTTGTGGGTTCTGGGACCCAGTTGTGGTGAAAACAAGAAAAGATCCACTGCCTTCCTAACAAGCATGTCGCAGGAGTTGACTAATTAGAGGCTTCTTTTCAAGTTGGAGTATATCTGCCTGGACAGCTAGGAACAACCAGCTGCACACAAATAAATCAGTAAAATGGATGTACACGCAAAACTCAGGCCTTGGCACAAAGCCATTGTCAAAATGGATGAACAACCAGGACTTTCTGCCGGAGCTTACAGCCAGTAAACAAAGAAGGAGAAGATGAAGATCAAAATTTGTTTAATTTCTTTGACTGTTCAGATAAATATAGTGTATTTTTATTTCTTATTGCAGAAACCAGTTACCTGGGTATCATCTTCATTTGATGACTTTGGATTTGAATCTTTATCCTCTCAGAAGTCATTTTCCGCTCCAAAAACTAGTGTAAAGTCCACTAATCAAGAGAGGAAAGGATTTACAGGTAAGCAGGTAGTGCACGCTTGCCAGGATGTTTTCGGCACAGATGATCTTTTTCTGTGCTGACAGGCTGTGAACTCTGGCCAAAACAGTTTATGGACTAAAGTGTTGTTTCAGGGTTTGAATGTTGCACGCACATCCATTTTTCACATGTCTTGTTTGTATGCAGACTGTTGGTTCCTCACCTCTAAGGAGATGCACTCTGACTTCAAAGGAAACACCCTTAATTAGTCATCTTTTACAACATGCTTGTTAGGGTGGGCAAGGTGTCTATTTAACATCCCTCCTCCCCCCCCCCCCTCTCCCCCCAATCCCAAATGGAGCACAGAGCCCACTTGAGGAGCCTGTGTTCAATGTCTGTGGTCAGTTCTCAGAATTAACAGGGTTTGTTTCCTGACTGGTATAGTTCTGAGGTCAACCCAATCTCATAGACATGCATAACAGATAATTTTCTGGGAAGAAATGTGGCAAGAGCTGGCCATCCCCTCTCAGGTGTTGTGGCCTAGAATGCATGAAGAATGTCACAAGAAGTGAGCAAGGAGGGTTTATGTGAGACAGTATACTTCATCATATAGAAAGGTAGCTGAACATCCAACCAGTAATGAAGTTTACAAAGGACTGATAGTGTGCTGGTTGAGGATCTGTGTCCCACTGGGAGAGAAGAAAAAGAAAAAGGAGTCTGTCACTTGAACCTTTGTCTGTTGATTCCTTGTATGTGGTCACATTCATTGAGATTGTCCCATACAGACAATCATTCCCTGAGTAAAGCACTACATGTTTAACTCATATTAAAGAAAATCCACGTGTAGAAAGTTTGCATTCTTTAATACAGACATTGAGATTCTTGTCACTGGTGAAGTATTTAAGCACTGAGCATGGTGAAGTGGTTAAATCATTTGCCTCTTGTTCTGGAGGTTGTGAGTTCTTTGTCTTCTTCTTAACTTTCACCAATTGTAAACTTTGACAGGATTTATGGTTGTTTATCCACTTCTGTATTTTGATTTTGTTCATAAACTTGAGTTTTTGTGTGCACGTTCATTTTACAGATCTGACTTACTTGTGGTATGCAGACTATTGGTTCATTGCCTCTCAGGCAGATGCACTCCAACTTCCTAGTTAATCACCTCCTAATGACATGCTAATAGGTATTTTAAATTTCAACATAAAATGATATAAATAATAAATAACAAATATTTAAAGTAAACATATATTGTTTTAAAAAGAAACATTTGAACCTTTTCCGTCATGAAAGTGTGGAATTAATGCTCTGTGGCTGGCAAGCAGAAGTTCTGAAGAGATAGACTGAACCATACAGGATTTATCCAATAACAAAGTTGATTCAGTTGAGTTTCTCGGGTGGCTTGGGTGATGGATTTGTTCATCTTTTTTCAGATACACTATTTATCCTTCTCTTTCTAGGTCTTCCCCTTGCTTTTCTCCCAGATGTTTTGCTCTCAAAAGTCTCATGTGCAGTTTGATCTGACTACATTCTCACCAGATGTCTGAACCATTTCATTCTTTGCCTGTATAGTTCTGACACAGCCTCATTTAAACTTTATATTTCATAACCCTCTCCCCTTCTCGAGTTGCTAGTGACCTCACGGAGACAGCACATCTCACAGGTAGTCATTTTCTGTTCTAGTAACCTACTTATTATTTACAGTTTTTAAGAATAAAAGTTTTATTTAGTAGTTTTGTTGTTGTTGTTGTTTTTTTAACTTGCAGATATTTCATTAACATGTATTTTACATTTTCAGTTTCCCAAAGTTCAATTTACAAATTTGCAACGGAGAACAAATCTCTTAAAAGGCCAAGACAGCAGCATGTACAGCAGTCAAGCCAGTATTTCAGCAGTCCAACTGCCAAACTACTGAAACCAGCAGTCAGCCTTGAACTTTGGTCAGAGAAACATAAGCCATTGTCCAGGGTAAGTGTGGTTTCTTTAGAGATGGAGTTAAAAAAATTAACATAGGCTCCTTCCTATATGGGTTACAGGGTCCCATTGTGAAAAGGGTTGGGGGGACAGACCCACTGTCCAGAACAAAATAATAAAACAAATGCCCAGAACAAAACAAATGCCCAGAACAAAACATATGCCCAGAACAAAACATATGCCCAGAACAAAACCTGCCCAGAACAACAGAACAAAACAAATGCCCAGAACAGAACAAATGCCCAGAACAAAACAAATGCCCAAAACAAAGCAAATGCCCAGAACAAAACAAATGCCCAGAACCAAAAATAAATGCCCAGAACAAAACAAATGCCCAGAACAAAACAAATGCCCAGAACAAAACAAATGCCCAGAACAAAACAAATGCCCAGAAAAAAACAAATGCCCAGAGCAAGACAAATGCCCAGAACAAAACCTATGCCCAGAACAAAACAAATGCCCAGAACAAAACAAATGCCCAGAACAAACCCCCTGCTCCCCAACAAGAATGTCATAAAATTTGACTAATTATTGATGTTTCTTTTGAAGTCGGAGTGCATCTGCTTGAGATGTGAGGAACTAACAGCTGCATACAGATAAGCCAGATCAATCTGTAAAACAAATGTATATGCAAAACTCTAGTTATGGAACAGGATTAAAGTTCAGAAGGGGATGAACAACCAGAACTTTCTGCTGGAGTTTACTGCCAATGAGTGCTAAGAGCACTGAATTGTTGATGTGATCAGTATCACACTGGTCACCTCTACTTTCAAGAACATTCCTATCCTTGTATTCTTGTTCATTCTGGAATTCCAGCTCAGTTTTTTTTTTTTTAACGGCCCCTCCATCACTGGTGATTTGAACTCATAACTACAAGACCAACAGACAAGCATGCTAGCAGCTGTGCTTCCACGCTCCTGGTTTATGAGATGTGTGTCCACTACCACATGGTAGGAGACAGTGTAGCACTCATTTTCTAATGTTATAACAGTCAAAACATTCAACATTATGAGATGAACCAGATCTGACTAAGCCAGGGGCAGAGGCTCTAACTTCTGATCTACCTTTTTAATTCCTTATTTTGTCAATCATGGTCGGCATCCCTGTGTTTTATGGTGGGTCCATCAATGCGGTAAAGGCAAACAGTGTCGAAACCTGTCAACTTCTTCTTCTTCTTCTTCTTTTGTCCTACTGCTTATTCTGTAAAGAGTCACAGAGAGGGGCGCTTCTTTGATTGGTTCCCCAAAATGGCGGCATGCCACATTCTGGCCATAAAATATCCAAAAATATCTGAACGACGGTGTTCGCGTATATCTAAAATACGGATTATCTGCCAAGGAACAAATCGCGGCAAATCTAGGATTGCTTGACAATCAATTTCAACATATGCACACGGTAGTAGTAGCAGACGAAAAAATCAGACTGTTGACAACAATTTCGAGCGTACATACTTACCTATCATCATACGGTTGCGTGTAAGGTTGCGTACGGTTGCTGTTAGGGTTGCGTAGTCATCATACGGTTGCGCGAAGGGTGGCGTAGTCATCATACGGTTGCGCGAAGGGTTGCCTAGTCATCATACGGCTGCGTGTAGGGTTATACCTATCATCATACGGCTGCGTGTAGGGTTATACCTATCATCATACGGTTGCGTGTAGGGCTGCGTACGGTGTGGATTCGGGGTTAGGGTTAGGGTTTAGGTTTAGGGGTAGGGTTAGGGTTAGGGTTAGATGTGACAATTTTGACGTAGGAGTTCCAAATACTGGCCGACAATCTCATGCTTGTGGGAGTGGCGCCACTGTAAGTCTGTCAAATATGACCGCAATAGCGCGCAGCTGGTGCCCAACCGGTGGCGACGTGTCCGTGTCAGTAGCATCCACAGTCCGTCGAATTTTTGGGTGTGTATGTGACAGTGCGCGATTATTGGAAATTCCTGCGTCTTCAAAATTGTCACATCTAACGCTAAACCTAAGGCTAAACCTAACCCCTAACCCTAACCCTAACCTTACCCTTAACCAACACCCCTAACCCAAACCCTATGCAGCCCTACACGCAACAGCATGATGGACTACGCAACCCTTCAGACAGCTGTATGATGACTACGCAACCCTACAAGCAACCGTATGATGACTACGCAACCCTACACGCAACCTTACACGCAACCGTATGATGATAGGTAAGTATGTCATTTGTTTCATGACTTTTCTGCTCACTGTTTCGAGTGCGGCCAAGGGAGAGAACTCCCACTAAACTGAACTAAGTCGTCCAGCCCGCATCCAACCCTCGTCCGGATCTGCAAGGAGAGCCCTCGCGAGTACAGTAATTGGAGGAAGTTGCAGGAGATGCGGTAGCTGCCGCTCGTGAGTCCCAGCCATCTAGTTTAGCCCCCAGCCATCTAGTTTAGCCCCCATCCGCGCGGGGGATACGCTCGGCGGTGAGGCACACTCGCAGACGCAGGTCGGCAAGTAACGCCGTATCACCGAGACCCTGTCAGAGCCATTTGTTTTTCCTTATCCGGAGCCGGCACACATATTTTAATAGAACTGACCCGCATTGGGATATTTTTGGATATTTTATGGCCAGAAATTGGCCAATTTAGCTCCCTTTTGAACGCCATCATATTAAAGCTGCCATTTTGGGGAACGATTCAAAGAAGCGCCCAGAGAGGAGTTAAATGTAGTTCTCTGTCTTTTGCTAGTAATGTAGCTTGTGTTAATGTTTTATTGTGTTTCTGAAGTGTCTCTTTTACTCCCTCCACCCATATCTTTCTTGGTCTGCCTCATGACCTGTAGCCTTCTGTTCTCATGTAGTACATTCTAGCTGCTTGCTGATTTTGTTGGATGTTCTCTTTAATCTTGAGCACATCTTTTTCTTAAAGTCCATGCAGTGTAATGTTGGTAGTCTTGTCTATCCTCAACCTTCTGTCTTGTGTACTTTCAGTCAGCTGACAGACACACATGTTTATAGCTGACCTAGAGGTCCCAGGTCAAGCCAGCCTTCATTTGGTACCAGTGAATGTTCTGGGAAGTAAAGGCGGGCGGCATGATGTTGTCATCAAACAACTGACCCATCAAATGCTGATTGGTCTATAAAATAGAGGTCTAACTACCACATGCCTAATATGCTAATGACATGATAAAAGATTTTTACATTTCAAGTATTTGAGTTTGAATACTTATTTAAGATAAGACCCAGTTGAAGAGCATTTTCATGGATTTTCTATCCAGGATATTCATGTGTATGAGGTAACCAGTAGACTGATAGATTAGCTGCTCCAGCTTCTCTGGGCAGTCAGTTACTATATGATAAAGTGGATGTGGTGAAGGCTGTGTGGGATCAGATAACCAGTGCAAAAGAACAGTGAGGGAATCCATACACTGAAAGACTAATTCAAAGGGGGTGTTTAGAGATTCTGGAAGATATTCAGCATCTAAGAGGAAACAGAGGTGGACTTTTAATCAGGTTACAGTTAGTACTATTAGCATGTCAACTCTTTGTTGGTTACTGAAGAAATGGTTGGAGCAAGTGTGGAAATGAATAGATAAGAAGAACAAAGAAAAGATGAATATACTTGATGATGAGCTTATGACAAAAGAAGATGATATTAGTTATAACTTAGGGTGTCAGGTTTTAATGAATTATTTTGGATGTTTCCATTTTGCAGGCAGACTTAGCTCTTCATAAGAAGAAGATTGAAGTAGTTGCAGACTGGCTGGCTCAAAACTCAGAAAATGTCACAAAGGTATGAAAGAACTAATAAAGTTCTCCTTTTTTTTAAGCACTTTTCTTGTGTTGTGTTTATTAAAAAAATATTAGAAAAAAAAATGAACTGTCATCATTAAAACTTGACTAAATTCATATAATTTATAAGATCTGTCAGTAGCACAGGTATGCAAAGAAACAATTAAAGACAAAGTAACTTCACTATGTGACACAAATCTGAAAGGGCCGTTAGCACATTATTTTGTGATTTATAGCTAAGCTGTGATGTCTCTGACATTCCGCTCAACTCATCTACTGCAAACCCTCAGTTAGTCAAATGCCTTTTAGGACATTCTTGTTAAGGTGCCATGGCTCTAAATCCCCCCACCCCCACCCTCCAGTTTAAAAAAAAAAAAACAAAACTGGTGCACTCACACAGAGAAGATAATAAAATAATAAATTCAGTGACAGATTTGATTGTTCCATAGTTTTGTATGTTTTTAATATGTTGACCAATTCCATATTTGCTTTATGCCAGGTAGGCATCATCAGGTGTCAGCTTCACATTTAAGTTGGCTGTAATAAATCTCCAATACTGTGTTTGTGTCTTCGTCCATTCATATAGGTTTCTTCTACTCCAGTCTTGATGTTGTTCACCCAAAATGTACCATTGTCATTCGCTTGCCTGCTTCACCTCCATTTTCTTTCCTTCTAGAACATCTGTTAACAAGAGGTGATGTCTTGATGTTACCAGACTACTTTCATTGTCTGATCATCATTTAATTTAGTCACATTCTTCAATCCCAAGCTGCTGTATTTTTTTTTTCACTTTTGCTGTCAGGATGTTTATTTTTATTTTTTTTATTTGTATAACCGCATTTCAAAAGTTTAGCTTCATCCCTGACACTGTTTTGTTGTTTCTAATTGTTCCCTTTTCTGCATCGTACAGTAACATAGAGTAACACATGTAGAAATCATCAGAGACTTGTCATTTCTGATAATTTTTAACTCTGTTGATTAGCACAAAGCCCCTATTTTGCTACTGACTGGCCCACCAGGAGCAGGCAAGACAGCCTGTATTCATGTCTTGTGTACGGAACTAGGTATAGACATTCAGGAATGGTCCTGCAATGCTGAGCAGTCAGCTGACCAGTGGTCAGATGGTAGTTTTCAAGCTGGAGGTAAGACATTTTGACAGTTACTTTCTGAAATTACCTTGAAATCAAATTGTAGCCGTTCTTCTTCACTAATTGTTGTTAATCTTTGCCTGCCTTGCTGACAGAAGGGTTGCTCATGTCTCTCCACAACCCTCACTGTAGTGCTGTTTATAAGGTGGGGGAAAAGGGGGGGGGGGGTGAGCTCATGTCTCTCCAAAACCCTCGCAGTGTTATTTTTTAGGGAGGAGAAGGGGGGGGGGGGCGGCTCATGTCTCTCCACAACCCTCACTGTAGTGCTGTTTATAAGGTGGGGGAAAGGGGGGGGGGGGTGAGCTCATGTCTCTCCAAAACCCTCACAGTGTTATTTTTTAGAGGGGGGTGGGGGGGGGGGGGGGCGAGCTCATGTCTCTCCACAACCCTCACTGTAGTGCTGTTAATGGGGGAGGGGGAGCTCTTGTCTCTCTCTACAACCCTCACTGTAGTGCTGTTTATGGGGGAAGGGGGGGGGGGGAGCTCTTGTCTCTTCACAACCCTCACTGTAGTGCTGTTTATTAATTTGTGCATTGAGATAATTTAATATCATGATTTAAGACTCCCCAGTACCTTTTCTGCCTGCCTGTTCTTTATCTTCGCTTCTACAAATCATATTAGTTGTTAAAATTTCTTCACTTAAAAGTAATGTTTCCTAAGCGTTAAATGTAGTCTCATCACATAATGGTGATGTTTCCATCTCTTCACTGCAGGCTCTTCACCTAAAAGTGATGTTGGCTACTTATTAATTTTGATCTCTTTACCTGAAAGTATTGTTTCCTTCTTATTAACTGTAGCAGTTTGTGGTAGAAAATGTTATGTATTTAACTCTTCTCTTTGTTTTATTATGAGTTGAGTTGAATTGAGTCAAGAATTGACATCACAACACTCGGGGCATTCCCATGCATGCTCCGTCCTCATCTTCAGCAGCCAGCGCAGAGTTCCAATACTGATGGTATCAGTCACAATCTGGTTATATGTCCGTCTTGCCTTTCCTCTGAGTGTAGTGAGCCGGCCAGACTCTCTGGCCTCATTCTCTCCAGTCCATAATGATTTTGTTTCTCTACTGATTCCGTTGCTTGTTCCCAAAGGGCTTGTTTTACTGTGAAGTACTTCTTTATAATCATCAGAAAGATCCAGTGTGGATGTGTACATGAGCCAGTCCCAGACATCCCTGTTCCACAATTTCCTACTGAGAGCAAACAAGTACCAGGCACTGGACTTGTCAACATCACTGCCCAGCTTAGTTAAGCAGCCATCAACAGAATTAAACAGTAAGACTACCAGAAAGAAATGTGCAGTTGTTGTAGAAGATCTTCCGAATATCTTCTTCAGGGATGCCCAGAAATTCCATGAAATTCTCAGGTATTTATTAATATTATTTCAGGCATCTGTTTGTTTTCTGTTATTTTTTCTATTATTAAGATTTTACTGTTCATTATTTGGGGTACCAACATTGCTGCAGATGGGTCGCCTCATAACTGGTCTATTCCCATGCCAGTGGGCATCACACAAATGTCTTTCACAGTCCTATTTGAAAAGTAGTAACTCTTGAAGCTTGCACACGCAAAGTATAAATGCATAAAGCAGCTGTCAGATGTGCCAACACTGATGATGCCGCCCAGAATTGCAGCTCGCTTTTGACACAACTGGTCAGTCGCGAAAGCTGACATAGCATTCTAAGATTTTGCTAGCTTGAAATGAATAGGATGTTTACTGTAAATTGGGGCATGTGAGCCTAAAAATATTTCCAAAACTAGGGGTTGACTTGTATCAATCAATCATCATGTCCTTTGCTGAATATCGCTTTCTTTACTGCACATTTGAGTCTCTCTTTCCTAGCCAGTTTTCCAGCCCTGTGTGCTTTCAAAGCTTGAGCGTCTTAAGGTCCTGTATCCAGATTTGCGAAGGTCAGCCTCTGCTTTTTTTTTTTTTCAGAAACTGCACTGGAAAACTGACAGAGCAGTTACATAAGGCTGGTCAGCTCTCAAAAAAGAATATTATGACTAAGGAAAAGAAACAAAATATTGACAAAGATTTAGAAAGTACAACAAGAGAAGTTTGTGGAAGAAAAGGCTCATTCAGTGAACTTAAACGGGGGACTGGAGAACCTTAGGCTTAACTATATAACTGCTGTTGAATATAAATCCAATTTTTTATTGTTATTCATGGTTTGGCTGGTCTGTGGAGAACAATCTGATACTAGGTGACGTTAAATGTAGCAAGCGAGCTAGTGTGCACAATTGCTAGATGCTTGCCTGCAGGCTGAAAGTCTTAAGTTTGTATACACATTCTTCTTCTGGTTCTTCTTCTTCGCATTCACCACTGTAAACTCTAACTGAAAGTTCTGGTTGCTCATCCACTTGTGGACTTTGGTCTTGTTCCAGAATCCGAATTTTGTGTGCACTTCCATTTTACAGATCTGGTTTATTTGTATGCAGACTGCTGGTTCCTCACCTCTCTGGTTGATGCACTCCAACTTCAAAGGGAAAATCCCTAATAAGTAGACACTTACTACATGCTTGTTATCGGGCAGTGGGTCTATTCTTTTTTTTAGCCCCCACTACAATGGGGTCCTGGAACTCACATGGGAAGTGTACACATTGAAGCCTGTCCTAAAAGTTGTGACCATATCACGAGTCACGTGTCTGTTTGTACTTAAAAGAATATGGATCTGTCACAATGTTCCTGGTGTACCTTTTTCCCTTTGTGGGTTCCTGGGCCCATTTATGGTGGGGGGAAATTGACCTACTGCGCCCCCCCCCCCCCTTTTTTTCTCTCAACAGGCGGGTCATTAAAAAAGTGGACTAATTTGAGATGTTTTCTTTAAAGTCAAGAGTGCATCTGCCTGAGAGGCGAAGAACCATCAGTATGCATATAGATAAGCCAGATCTGTCAAATGGATGCACATACAAAACTCAAGTTCTGGAACACGACTAATAGTCCAGAAGTGGATGAACAACCAGAACTTTGAAAACAAAGAAGATAGTAAACATTGCCAGAATGCACTCATCAAATTTAAATATTTGTGCCAATGTTTTTTTTTTTGGGTAGAAACTACCGCTACAGTGGCCACTGTCCGCTGGTGTTTATCATCAGTGATACAAACAACAGCTCAGGAAGCATACAGAAACTATTTCCAAAAGATCTTCAGTGTCAGCTAAACATTACAAATATCAGGTCAGATACAGCATTTAAAGCTGTCTTGTGTTTTCACTCATTCGTTGTCCTATTGTAATTCAGCATTTAAAGCTGTTTTGTGTTTTCATTCATTCATTGTCCTGTTGTGATTCAGCATTTAAAGCTGTTTTCTGTTTTCATTCATTCATTGTCTTGTTGAGATTTAGCATTTAAAGCTGTTTTCTGTTTTTATTCATTCGTTGTACTGTTGTGATTCAGTATTTAAAGCTGTTTTCTGTTTTCATTCATCCATTGTCCTGTTGTGATTCAGCATTTAAAGCTGTTTTCTGTTTTCATTCATTCATTGTCCTGTTGAGATTCATCATTTAAAGCTGTTTTCATTCATTCATTGTCCTGTTGTGATTCAGCATTTCAAGCTGTTTTATGTTTTCACTCATTCATTGTCCTGTTGAGATTCAGCATTTAAAGCTGTTTTCTGTTTTTTTCCATTAATTTTACTGTTGTAATTCAGCATTTAAAGCGGTTTTTTTGTTTTCATTCATTCATTGTCCTGTTGAGATTCAGCATTTAAAGCTGTTTTCTGTTTTTATTCATTCGTTGTACTGTTGTGATTCAGCATTTAAAGCTGTTTTCTGTTTTCATTCATTCATTGTCCTGTTGAGATTCATCATTTAAAGCTGTTTTCATTCATTCATTGTCCTGTTGTGATTCAGCATTTCAAGCTGTTTTATGTTTTCACTCATTCATTGTCCTGTTGAGATTCAGCATTTAAAGCTGTTTTCTGTTTTTTTCCATTAATTTTACTGTTGTAATTCAGCATTTAAAGCGGTTTTTTTGTTTTCATTCATTCATTGTCCTGTTGAGATTCAGCATTTAAAGCTGTTTTCTGTTTTTATTCATTCGTTGTACTGTTGTGATTCAGCATTTAAAGCGGTTTTCTGTTTTCATTCATTCGTTGTCCTGTTGTGTCATTATATGTCGCATAGGGCTTACAGTCTGTTTCTCCATTTTGTTCTATCCTGTGGAATCTCTTGGATACTGTGGATAGAATCCAGTCCAGCACCATTGGCTCCTCTCATCAGCGTTCACCTTTTGGATGTCCTCCTTTTTTCAGTCTGTTTTCCATTGCAGTGCTTGTTTGATGATTCTCTCTTTGTCTGTTATCAGAATGTGTCTAATATAGTGCCATCTTTTCTGTTGTATAACTGTTATTATCAGTGGTTGGCCAGACATTTCTCTGATTTCTTCACCCTTTTTGAATTCATCCTGTTTGTATTTTGTGGTATTGAATATTACTGACTAATTCTGACATTTTGTTATCTCCATACGATTTCTTGTGATGGTGGCTTCTTAGCATGAGCATATGAATATTCTAGAGTTCTTGAGTGAACAGTCTGGTATGTACATCATTGAAGTTTTTTTGTTTCATTGTTACAAAGGCTGTCTCTACCCGACTGGGGTTTTTAATAAGAAATTGGAGAATCAAGATGTTGTGAAGATATGACATTTATCTCTTCTTCTTCTTCAGCATTCCGAGCCCTTGAGGTTCATTGCTGCAGATATCACCCGCCTCTATTCATCTCTCTGGTTGACCTTCTCTTTCCAGTTGGTGACACCAAGTGTTTGCAGGTCTGTCTGGACATTATCTCTTCATCGTCTTCTTGGTCTGCCTCATGGTCTGCAACCATTCATCCTCCTTATGAATACAATTTTCACTTCTCTGTCTTCTGACTTCTCTGTCATCTAACATTCTTTCAAAATGCCCCAACCATTTCAGTCTATTAGATCATCTCATAATGCCAGTGAGCTATGGTTATTTAAACAGATTATGAATTTTGTTGTTGCTTCTCACTCTCCATTCCCCTCTGTTTGCATCTTTGATGGGTCCAAAGATGCGTCGTAAGACTCTGTTTTTGAAAACCTGTAATAAGGCTTCATCTTGTTTAGTTGTGCTCCAAGTTTCAGAGCCATATAACATGATTGGTCTTATAAACGTTTTATATATTTTGATCTTGGTGTTGCCAGACAGACACTTTGACTTATGCAGATGTTGAAGGGCATAGTATACTTTATTTCCAGATTGTATTCTAGATTGTATTTCTTCTCTCAGCATGTTAGAGCAGTTGAAGTTTGCACCCAACTTTTATTTATCTCTAAATTTGAACAATCTATGTTCATATCCACTTGAATGACAACTCTTTAGGAAAACCGTATATCTTATAAACCTTGATCTAAGAGCAGTGGATTTGATGTCAAACCTTCAGATAAGTTAAACAGTAAAAAAACCTGTGAGTGTCGAAGTGGTTGGAAATTGTGAAGAGCATAGCCTGGAAAACATATCAGAATGAGAAAATGTACCCACAGCAAATAGTTGTAGTATATATACAGCACAGGTTGGTTGCTTGTAAATCCTCTGAAAGACCCTCCCGGCTCTAATGCATTTGTGTTGAAGTCATCCATGCCCCCTCCCCCCCCCCCCCCCCTCCCAGCTTACATCTGCTGGAGCGAAGGTTGGGGGGGGGGGGGGCACATTTCTCCCAGCCTGATAACAAAGTACCATCTCCAGAGAGATTGAGTGCGGAGCTATCCTTTCCCTCTCCAGACCTGGAAACCAGCAGCAAGGTGTGCAAGGCCAGTGCTGAGACTTTACATCTGCAGAGGCATATTAGGATGTTTCCAGGTTATGATCTGTACAGTTTCACACCGGCTGGCTTGGATAATGCCTCTGTTGATATTTCCTGCAAGGACGTTTAGATACTACATTTATCAGCAGACTCTAATCAAATGTCAGAAGGGAAATTGTAGACTTAACCCTCTTGCTCCGAGAAGCACAAAATCCTGCATTTCTGTTTTGTGCCACAGCCTAGTCAATGTCCCTTTCCCGGCTTGCTGTAGTCTTTTTGCGAGGAACCCCACTAACAGTGTTGCTTCCATTTTTTTTGGGCGACTTTTTAAAATGACCAAGAATGAGCATAACATTTAGATGAGGGGGTGGGGGGGGGGTTCCATTTTGAAAATGGCTTTATTTATGGAAATGAGTATACTAGAATTTCCTGTTAGTTGGAGCGGTAATTGGTGACAGGTCACAGGGTGAAGAACAGGTCATGTTGAACATTTTTGTTTAAAGCTCTGAGAGATGTAACTGAGGCAATTATGTTCAATATTCATGTTTATTGATTACTGCCAGTATTTTGTAGGCCATTAAAATATTGGTATGGATCCATAAATGGAATTTGTCTTCTTTTTTCTTCTGTGACCTGTGTAAAATGGTTGTTTTGTTAAAGCAGTGTTCTCCAACTTGGGGAGCACGCCCCTTCACCCAGGGGATAGGGCGCAAGGAGGTTTCGAGGAAAGGGGGGGGGGCAGGGGAGCCTTGAGCAGTTTGAAAGTGAGTGCATTTGTACTTGTTACAATGCGTTGCACTTACAATTTGTTTTTATTTGATTATAAAAAATTTTTTTTTTTAACTATTTATTAAACAAAATGACAGGGACATTTTTGTTTTGCTGGACAGTTTGTACATATACCGTAAAAAAAACACAACAATATTATTAATACGATAACAGGCATTTAATTAAAGAACACATTTTGACCAAAAATGGCCTTCAGACCACTTGACCAGCCGCGTCTCCATGATGGAGCATAGACCTTTAGAATTAAGATCTTGCTACATGTTGACTTTTATTTTAACCAGCCCAAGATGGAATTGGGCAGTTAAACAAGAGTTTAAAGAAATATTTTACAAATTTTGAAACATCTTGTTAAATGACTCACATACTTTATGTCAGTTGTAAGAAGGCTTATGAATTTATTGATTTTTGTCTGTTCACTTGACTTTTTGTTCTAATCAGTTTTTCTCTTCTACTCAGTGTGAATCCAGTAGCCCCAACTGTTCTTATCAAGTTGTTACAGGGAATTGTTAATAAGGAAACTAGAGAGGTAAGCTGTTTTATAAATGTTCTCTAATTGCTTCTGTTTTTTAAGAAATTTTCTGTTAAAGCTATCTTTTGTGATAAGTTGGATTTTATTTTGTTTATAAGTACACATTGGGATTACACTATCTCAGAAAGCATGGTGAGGAAGGTGAGGGCAGGCCTACTGCCTCCCAGCAAGCATATCGTAGGAGTCGACTAATTGGGGATGTTCTTTGAAGTCGGAGTGCAATTGCCCAAGCGGCAAGGAACAACCAGCTGCACACAAATAAGCCAATAAAACGGTTGTACATGCAAAACTCAGGCACTGGCACAAAGCCAAAGTCCAAATGGTCGAACAGACAGGACTTTCCACCGAAGCTTAGAGCCGGTGGACAAAGAAGAAGAAAATCAACTGTTTTATAAGTAAACCAGTGTATTTTCTTTTTAAACTGACCTGGGATCCCAGGTCAAATCAATCTAAAACCAGGAAATGTTCAGTGAAGAATAGGTAATTGGTGTAATATTTTCTACATCACCCATTGAGTTCTACTGCACTATAAAAATCTGTTTGAAAGACAGTTCTCAAGGAAACAGCATGTTTTACTAGCTTCCTAAACTCTGGGTAATGGATTTGATAAAGGATCAGATAAGGGTAAAAATAGAACATATGCTCATAATGATTGCATATTTAAAAAATATGATTTCTCATACATGAGAGTATTCCTTTCAGAGCAAGTGGACAGCTCCAAATGCAGCAGTGATTGAAGCAATAGCCTCGTCCAGCTGCGGTGACATCAGGTCAGCCATCAACACCTTACAGTTTGCCTGCAGAACAGGTGTGTGTAAAATTGATGAGAAATAGAACTAGCAGCTTAAAATTAACCTAATGTCAAATGTATGTTGCAGATGTAAAGTCTTCATCAGCATATGACACAAATGTACATAATTACAATCGAGAATACACAGAGTATCTGCAAGTTGAGGTCTCCTACAGAAATATCTAGAACATGTCTGCTCAGTGGAAACTGACTCTTGTGTATTGCAGGAAGATGATACAGGACAGTGAGAGTGGTGAGTTTGGCAAGGACTGCAACTCAAAAGTCTTTAGATAAAGCTGTGTTGGACATTAATGCTCTGAGGGGAGAGGGATCCCATTAGACAGGTAGTATGGTTCTCAGGAGCTTTACACAAAGGTGTCTGGGCCCATTTCAAGCTGAAACTCTCTTTCGGGACCAAGCAACTCACCATGCCTTTGTTGGTTCTCTGTCGTGAAGTGGTCAATCATACTCTGAAAGTCATGCGTTCATTTCACAGCTGTGACGTTCAGTTCACGAGTGCAGTTTTTACTGAGACCCCTGGGGATCATCACCAGAGCTACAGTGTTTGTGCTTTATGTGACACTCTCGGCAGGTGGCTGGCTGTTCTGCATAGAGAGACGAAGTCATAATAGATAAATCCCGGTGCAATGAAGTCAGTGCTCTCAACTTTAACTTTTAAATACTTTTTACTGATTCATTAACTACTTGCGGCGTCCGTGGCTAAGGCGTTGCGAGTCCGACTCGTAAGCCAGCATACCGCTATCGAAACCCACTGCAGGCTGCGCGGATTTATATCGTGGTATGGGACGTCGCAGGTCGACCCAGCCTAAAATGGGTACCAGGATGGGCTATCCTGGGAAAGTAAAGACGGCCGGCGTAATGCTGACCACATTACCCACAGAGTGCTGATGGTTTGTAAAAATATGGGACGCTCTGCCCATATGCCTGATGCGTGAAAGGCGTGAAAAGGGATCTTTACTTTACTTTACTTTTTTTTAATTAACTACTTGTACGTCAACCAGTTGTTACACTATTCAATTCTGCTCTATGTGGTATTTTAAAAGTTTTTTTTTTCTCATTACCGTAAGTTGCGGCATGTACATCCAGTTTTCAAACCTAAATAACTTCCCATAACTAGGAGTTGACTTATATGTCGGTTATGAAATGTGAAATGCAAACCTCTACCACACAGTTGTAGACAAGTGGGACAGCACTCCTAACAATCACTGCACACCACTTATTATATCTCCAGCAGTTTGTCCATTATAATAGGGTCTCCTTTAAAAAGATTAGTTTGACCTGAATATTGACAGTGTAATGGATCACAGGTTTTAAAGGTTTGCTAAGTTATACCAATACAGTATATCATATTTTTTCAACAATTATAACACTGAGAAGATTGCGCTATATTGGGCATATTCTAAGAAGAAACGAGTGAAGAATCATCAGACAAACATTAAAATTAGTGTCTTATTCACGTTACCCGGCCCATTCCCACATGTCTGACCTTTTATGCATGCTTTCTCAGACTCTTCTACGTCGGAGGGGTGTCACGATGTCTTGTCTCCAATTACATCAGCGCCGATATTGCATGTTCTATACTTCACGACGGCACAACAATTTTCAGCGACCCCAGAGCATTTAGAACTGACCCTAACCCAACCCCCACCCACAGCCTGAGCCTAGGTCACATAAAAGACTCTTTTCGAAGAAAGCAGTACAATGTGACACCCCTCTGACCTAGATCAGACTGGCAAAGTGTGTAGATGGGCCAGGAAACGTGAATAGGTCCAAAATAAAGAAATAAAGAATTAAGGAGGTGAGGACACACAAAAGAAACCCTAAGACGAATGTTAATGAGAGAGGCCAAAGGTGTTGGACTGGATTCCATCCATGTTATTGAACTAATTAGAGCGGAATGGAGGAATAAACTGTGAGCCCTATGTGACATTTAATGGCAGAAAAGGATAATGAATAAATGAATGAATATGGTACCTACTAGTGTGTGTTGTAGGTTGTTTGCTAAATAAACAACACAATCCATCAAAAACAGTAAGTTGTGATTTTTGATTTTTTTAATTTTCATTGATTTTTCTCTTTTAACATCTGATACTGAAAGAGTTTAAAGTTTCATGATTGTTTATTCATTAAATTAATAGATTAATTTCTTGATATCCTTGATATATTCTTTGACATCAGCTTGCTGCAGTCACCCTTTTTAATTTCAACACGTATCTGTTTTATAGATACCTCAGACCTAAAAGCATTATATCCAGCAAGTGCGACAGCAAAGAGGAAAAACAAAAGCTCATCAACAAAGTCACGAAGTGAGTCTGGTAGTGGAGCTAGTAAAGAAAACAGTCAGTCAGGCAGCAGCCACGGATTGCTTGGTGCGAAGGACACAAGTGTGTTTCTCTTCCACGCAGTTGGCAAAATCCTCTATTTCAAAAGTGAGTTTGTTTTATTTTTCTTCATATCCGTTCTTGCAAGGGAAAATCGCTTCATTAATTTTCTACGAATAAAATTATGGTGACAAGGCATGTTACGAAGAAAACTAATTCAGTCATCAAATTACTTTAAAAAATTTTTTTCAAACGAGAGCCGAAAAGGATAACAAAATAGTAACACTGAGGCCTGCACTTCTTTTTAAAAATTCTGTTTCACTTCCTCTTTTACCACTTTAAGTGTTGAAAGGGGTATAAGGTTCCTGCTTCTTGCTCTTCTGGCCGCCTCAACCATAGACACATCATCCTGTTCCAGCTTTTCTCTGATGTTGTCTTTCCATCTTGTTCTTGGTCTACCTTGTGCTGTACGTCGTTCTCCTCTTTTATTGCATACCTTATATGGTATGGTATCACAAGGCCGTCGCACAAACTGATGTATGCAGTACCAGATCGCAGATTGTGGAGAGGCGTGATCGCCCATGCCAGTCAGCAAGGCACTTGATGATGCAGATCACAAGAATTGCAAACCATTTGATTTGCTATCTTTGTATGTAATTTGGAACTGGTTCTGTGCCAGCTTTATTGAGCAGCGGCTGGCCAATTGGTTAGAATGCTGGGCCCTCATGCGGAAGACCTTGGTTCGAATCCTTGATAAGGCTGGGGATTTTTTTCTGTTGGGGGGCAAAATAGAAACCCCACCTGCACAGTTGAGTGACAGCACTAGCTATGCGGCCATAAATCCTCAAGATCAAAGACCTCCTGCCTACACCGCAAAACTGGTATCACAAAGGCCAACAGTTTTTGGCCAATTTCCTTGCTAATTTTGATCTCTTTTGGTCACTCCTGCAGTCCTTCTCAGACGTCTCATTCCCATGGTGACTAATTTTCTTTTAGTCGCCTACACTGCATGTCATAAATGAAGGGCTAGCATGAAACCAACTACGTCAACAAGAAGAAAGCTTTCACTGCAACAGTGCCGATAAGCATCAGCAGGTCACGGTTCTTTGTCATCTTTCACACAAGCACTAAAATCATGGCCTGGGTCTGTATTCAAGTCCCAACAAGCATTTGTCTCTTTATCTTCCCATTATAAGAGCAGTGGTAAACTAAAAGACTAAAGGACCCTTTTCCACGCCTTTCAGGGGTACTAGGTATATAGGGCTAGACCTATATGTTATAGACCAAACAGCACTTGGTGGGTGATGTGGTCTGCATCACGCCCACCGCCTTTACTTTCCAGGTCTGCACCTGTTACCCACTCAAGGCTGAGTCGACCTGGGAGCCGAGGTTATTTTTGAAAGTATTCTGGCCCTCAAGAACTGAACTTGCCTTCCCCTTTCTCTATATCATTCTTGCCAGTAACTTCTCCGGTTCATTCCTTTTCATAACATGCCAAGGATGGGATGGGGGGGCTGAGTGATCTCGTGGTATGGTGTCCATCTTGAGTGCTGGAGGTCCCGGGTTCAAGCCCTGTTGAAGGCTAGATTTTTTCATGTGGACTTCTAGTAATTTTCCCTTGTCTCTGGGTACTAAGATCAGATGCCCATGTGTATTCTTGCTCACGTAAAAACTCACTTGGCAGTTGGAAATCGGAAAGAGTAGCCTAACAGCGCTGCCCGGGCAATATTTTGAGTTAAAAATCTACCCAATGTATTTCAGGATCCTCGCCAGTGCAACAGAGTTCATGCACTGCGCTGAGATTCTTCAGATTCAGGCTTGAGTTAGAAATAGAACGGAGCACTTATGGTTTACACCCATGTGCCATGATGTTGATCCATCTAATAAACATAAACGTAAACATAAAAACATGCCCAGAAAAACTTTGTGACTTTCATCTGTCTAGAGGACGGGCTCATTTGTTTCTCTAGTTGGCATCCCTTAGATATTTTCTCCAGGTCATGCCGGTGTGTTGGGAAATGAGCAGGCAGATAGACCAGCCATTTCTGCACCACTTTATGGTGAATTGAAAGCTAGATATTGTGGGAGCCCTTTTGGAACGAGTGAACAGTGCGGATGAGCCGATAGATCATCACGGTCTGAGGATAATGGCGCTGCGAGGAATTACCAGGGGATGTAGCCGATACTCAACAAGAATGAGATGGATATACAATCAGACGGCTGCTGGTGCCATCGGAATTGGAACTCTTCGCTTGCTGCTGAAGATGGCAATAGATCACTTATGGGAGTGTCCCGAGTGCTGTGATGCCGATTCTTATTTCAACATTCAACATTCAATTTGTTTCTCTATTATTCTAACATTTTCATTCTTCAAAAAAAAAAAAAAAAAACATCAGTACACAGAAACGTTTTTCAGCTGTCTGCTTATTATCCATGTCTACATTAATGTGTGTCACAAAATTAAATTTTAGGTCAAGCTCGAATGTCAGTTTTAAGCTTGATCTATTCCTTTTTGCTGATTTTGACATTTTAGTTATAATAGTTGATCACAAAATTATCCTCATTGCATATTGAACAAGTCCATAAGCACTCAGATACCATTTCAGTGTATCCTCCAGCCTGTGGTGACTGATAACACCAGTTCTGTGTTGGTTTACTATTCTTCTTTGGCTGCCTGTATAGTGTTCATGTTTGGCGACACTTTTGAAATTTTAGTGTATATTTCTAATCAGTTTCACACTCAGTGCATTCTGGGTTGCAGATTTTGAGATTTTAGGTCTTTTTTTCTGTCAGTTGTACACTTTATTTCCAATTGCTGATTTTTATTTTATTATTATACAACTTTCAGGAGGAGATCCTAAGGAACATCCAAATCATGAGAATCTTCCACCTCACTTAAAGGAGTATGACAGAGATCCTCTGCTGTGTGTACCAGAGGTCAGTGGTCTTCACAAACTATGTTAATAAGAGTTTATGGGTTTCTAATATATTAACTATATATTTTAAAATCGAAGCAGGAACACTGCACTTGTCATTGAAGATAGGGACGGAGTGCTTATGGGAATGTCTCCCATGCTGTGATGTTGATTCTTGATTCAACAATAATATGTTAACTCATTCCTTATATAGTTGGCTCTGTGGCTAAGTCAATGTGAACGCTTCGTAATGCTGGGATGCCGGGTTCGACTCCAGCTGAGGGCCATATTTCAACAAAAAGCCAACCGTCTAGAAATCAGTGGCAAACTACTGGACATAAATTTGCCTAGAAAAACCATATAACAACCAGGGGCTGTTGGGGTTGGTTCTCCAATGTCCTGTAAAGGATACGCAACTAACCTAACCTTCCTTATATATTGTTAAGCCATGATGTCGCTCAGGGAACAGTGTTGGAACCTGTTGACAATGTCATTGCATCTCATCTTGTTTTTTGTGTGTGTGTCTTGCAGTGTCAAGGTGAAGTAAAAATGCCATGCAAATGCCTATTATAATGGTAGCCATGGACTTTCATGTCTTGTTCACAGACATCCTTATATGGCATGTAAGGGTCCTTCCCAATGGCCTCTTCCAGATGCGTAACACATGCAAAATGCATGGACTCGTATGCCTCAGGTCCATTAAGAGCATTTCACGGTCGAAACCTTGTATTCCCACTGATAACTCCAGGAGTCTCTGAAACACTTGCTTTCATGAACTGAACATGGATTCCAAAGCAAGACCGTGACATTCAGAATGCAAGGTGAATGTCTTAGCCATTTTGCCACAGAGAGCTTAACCTTTTTATCCCAAATTGGTTTTGCCTGTGCTGTGCCATCCATTACACATCCCTGGGAAACCTACAGACATACACACACACACACATATATATATATATATTTATATATGCTTTGTACCTTTGGAAATCCCCGCTTGACCTATTTAACGGTTCGGGTTGCCTCTGCAGTGTTTAGGAGGCCCGGATATAATTTACTAATAGAGTTGGGAAAAGGGAGCAGGGGGCCTTTTTTTTTCAGTTATTATGACATCATAATTTGCAGTTAAACCTTGCCTGGTCAAGTTTTGACGAGGTCATCATATATTTTTCTTATGCTAATGGATTTCTCAGCTTCCTTCCATGTTTTATTAATTATTCCTCTTCATATTCCCAAATGAATTTCTAAAAGTGTATAAGTAAATTTTAAAAACACTTTTAGTGACCTTGTCTTCTTCTTCTTGTTTGCGTTCACCGGCTGTAGACTCCATTGGAAAATTCTTGTTGTTCGTCCACTTCTGAACTTTAGTCTTGTTCCAGAACTTAAGTTTTGCGAGCACATCCATTTTACTGGTTTATTTGTATGCAGACTGTTGGCTCCAGGCCTCTCAGGCAGATGCACTCTGAAATAAACACCACTAATTACTCAACTGTAATGACATGCTTGGTAGAGTCGCAGTGGGTCTGTTTTGTTTGTTTGTTTTTTCAATGGTTGTTTTGGTAATTCCAGGTTCTGGGTCTCTTTATCTGAAGGCTTTCCGAGGCAAAAGAGTTAATCAAGCATATGAATCATAGGATCACTTTTTAATTAAATGTTTTTCTGTGTGGAAAAAAGTATTTTAGGACCTTGATAATACTTTTTAACCCTTCCCTAAATTGCAGGATGTGGTATTCAAGTCTAATCTATCTGGAGATTATTTTAACTCATTTTTGCATGAGAATTATGTGGAGTTTTTGTCATCTGTGGAGGATCTAGAGAGGGCAGCACAGTACTTCAGTGACGCAGACTATTTATCTTCAGTTTGGACAGTAAGATTGATTTGTTTAATGTTAATTATTTTTTTCCCTTCTGTATTTGCCCTTAAAAGGGTATCTGTAGGCTTTAACTTTTGGTTTACAGCAAGGCTGCAATACTTCTAATTAGACTCCTTTTATGACATGTTTATTTGGGGGGGGGGGGGGGCAGTGGGTCTCTTCCCCCCCCCCCACCTCCACCCAAATAGGGCCCTGGAACCCACACAGGGATTCTTCTTCTTCTTCTTCTCTCTATTCCAGGAATGCCTCACGGTGTCAGGGCAGGAAGAGATCTCTGCAACAGGCCCTTCTGTTTGTTACCTATAAAGTCCCTTTCAGTGTCTCTGATATTTCTGCAGTCCATCTTCTGCGTGGTCGACCTCTGGCTCTGTTACCGCTGTATCTGTGTAACATTGCTCTCTATGATGTCCTGTCTGATGCCAATCTTGTTACATGGCCAACCATTTGATTTGTTGTCTACCTATAAAGTTCAGTATTGGTTGTGTGCCGACTCTCCTCCTGATATCATTGTTCCTAGGTCGATCTTTCCTCATTACCCGTAACATAGTACAGGGGGATTTTCATATGAATTAGTGATAGATATTTAAATTAATTTGTCTGACTCCAGCTATGGCATGAAAAGGCGTACTCTTGATTCTTTATGCATGGATAGAAATTGTGAAGGGCTTCACTAAACAGCTGAGTTATTCTATGTTTTTTTGTAAGTAATTGTATCATTTATGTTGTATGCTGAGGAATTCTTTCTAACCACAGTGTTCATTTAGGCATTTATGATTGTGTTTGACTGGAATGCTGTCTAGTTTGACATTTCTGTTAAATTTGTCTGTATTATTTTTATTGCTAAAATAAATAAAATGAAGCCTTTATATGTGAAATAAAAGTATACATCTATATGTTCTCCCTATTATTCTTATGGGTTTTGAGCATGGTTTTATAATTCTGACATACTGGGTTTAGTTCAACCATGTGGGAATTTGTCAGCAGAACTCTGCATTGATTTTGACTATAGTCTCTGCTTCTTCTACTTCTTAGCGACAACCGGATGTAAACTTAAGTGGAAAGTTCTGGTTGTTCGTCCACATCCTGACTTTGGTCTTGTTCCCGAACTTGAGTTTTGCATGTGCATCTGTTTTATAGATCTGGCTTATTTGTATGCAGGCTTTTGGTTTCTCACTTCTCAAGCAGATGCACTCAAACATCGAAGGAAACATTCCTAATTAGTCGCATTTTAAATGCTGGGGGGGGGGGGGGGGGCTATTTTCCCCCCAAAATGGGTTCCTGGTACCCACAGGAGAATGATAATAGTATAAGTGTCAACAGTTCAGGGCAAAGGCAAACTGCTGAATGTAAAATTGGCTAGTTAAACCACAAATAGCCAAGTGATAAGGTTGGTTTGCGACATACTATTAAGCAGCATTCTTCACCCTTTAAATTTTCATTTTTACGTCTGTGGACTGGAAAAATATGTGAAATAGTTTGTTGAGTGGCTGATGGCTAAGACAACAATAAATGTAGTTGTTTATTAAATTAAATGTTTTAAAATTAAAATATTTACCTTCCTCGAATGTTCTTGGGCAGCATTCTGTGACCTACTACCACCTAAAGAGCATGTGCAAGGTGACTTATTAGAAGAGTCTCCTTCAAAGTCGGAGTGCATCTGCCTGAGAGGCAGGGAACCAACAATCTGCATACAAAAAAAGCCAGATCTGTAAAATAGATGTTCATGCACAACTTATGTTCTGGAACAAGACCAAAGTCCAGAAATGGAGGAACAACCAGAACTTTCCACCAGAGTTTACAGCCGGTGAAGGTGAAGAAGAAAAAAAATGCTTAGCTAATTCAGCTTTGAGGTTAGAAAATCTGGTATACCTCGCTGGAATGTTGTTTCTGAGAGATGAAAAAACATTTGGCGAGCTGCTAGGAAATTTTCGCAATATGCTACCATACACTGACCTCAGACTTTTAAAAATGGCTCTAAAAGATATGTAAAAATTTACCCTTGTCCATGCCATCAAACGTATTGGGCATACATAGAGCTATACCAATGTCCTGTAGACCAGTCGGCTCTAGGTGGGTGATGTGGTCAACAACACACCAGCCACTCTAAAATATATCTTCTTCTTCACATTCACCAGCTGTAAACTCCTGTGAAAAGTTCTGATTGTTCGTCCACTTCTGGACTGCAGTCTTGTTCCAGAACCTGAGTGTTGCGTGTGTATCTGTTTGACAGATCTGACTAATTTGTATGCAGACTGTTGGTTCCTTGCCTCTCAGGCAGATGCACTCCGACTTCGAAGGAAGCTCCAAGTCAGTCGACTCTTACAACATGCTTTTCGGTAGGCAATGGGTCTATTCTTGTTTTCCCTTTAATAGGGCCCCGGAATCCACACAGGGATCTAAAATATATGTAAGTTTTTTCTAAATTTTTTTTTTTCAAACTTTTACTACAGGCAAGAGAAGAGCTGCAGAAGTATTCTGTTTCTGTGGCGACACGGGGTTACATCCATTCCAATTCTGAGTTCAGCAGACATGACAGCAGTGGCAGAAAGATGGGCTGGAAGCCGCTTCATAAATCTCAGTGGTTTGATGTCAGCAAGCAGGTGAGACTCTTGGGTTTAGTAATGTTTAACCCACTGACTACCAGTGTCGCACGTAATGCGACGAGGCGATGTTTACTTCCTGTTGCCAACGTCACACTCCTTGCGATTTTAGCTTTGGATGCTTGCCGTCATGTTAAAATCGCGATTTTTGTGATGAATTTAGTTGCAGCCTTTAGCTTGTCCACTTCTCTATGATTAATTAAGGGAAATAACTTCGTAGTGCTCAAGGTACAAATTTGACGAATTTTCTTAGTTAGCTCCCGTGTCAGTAAGACTGACGAAATTTTCATGATGGCGTCAAATTCTCGGAACACTCATGGTAGTCGTATTGCAGCAGTTTCTGATACTGATAGTTCTTGTGAGAGTATTCAGTCAGAGCCCATAGATTATGAAGATTTTGTGCCTGAGTCTGCACATGAGGAAGATATAATTGCCACTTTTGATTCAGAATCATCATCATCTGACGAGTCTGGGGAAGATTTGCCCCGCCCACCACTGGTTGACGACTGGCAGTTTGATTTGGAAGGTTTTCCTGAAGTACCCCCATTTACTAGCACTTCAGGTTTATTTCTGTCAGAAGGAACAAATGAACCACTGGATATTTTTAATATTTTCTTCAGTAAAGAAATTCTTGCTGTGTTTGCGAAAAAAACAAATCGTTATGCTGAGGCAAAGATCGGTGTAAAACCAGACAGCTGTTTTGCCAAGAACTGGAAACACAGAACCCCAAATGAAGTGAGAGGGTTTCTTGTACTGTTGCTTCACATGAGTGTTGTGAAAAAGCCGTCTATTTCAGACTACTGGAGCATACATCCATTTATCCACTCACCATTTGCTGCCACCATCATGTCACGGAGGCGTTTTCAGCTCCTCCTATCTGCATTTCATATTGCAAACAATGCTTTTCAGCTGCCTGTTACAGATCCTCACCATGATCCATTACATAAAATACAATTTTTTTTTATGAACACTTGAGAAAGCTGTTCAAATCATTGTGCACTCCAACTAAAAAAATATGTATTGATGAAGCCATGTGCCCATGGAGAGGACGTCTTGGCTTCAAGGTGTACATGAAGGATAAACCCAACCCATGGGGTATAATAAAGATGTATGAACTGTGTGAATCAAACTCTTCATATGTGTTTGACTTTGAAATGTATGCCAATGTGCCTGGTCTTAGCAATAAGCCAGTGGATGTTTGTATGAGGCTCCTGCAACCACTTCTAAATCAAGGTTCCTGGTGCTACATGGATAATTATTATTCATGCCCTGAGCTGTCACATCGACTACTGGAGAATGGAACTATGTCAGTTGGAACTGTTCGTAGCAACAGAAAAGGTATGCCTAAGGATTTAGCAGCTCAGAAACTAAGTCCAGGAGAGACGTCATTTAGAAGGCAGAGAAACCTAGCTGTACTGAAGTGGAAAGATAGACGAGAAGTCAGTCTGATCACCACAGTCCACAATCCTTCCACAATGATTGAAGTTCAGACTAGAACTAGAAGGCAGATACAACCTGAAGCCATCAATAATTATTCCCATAATATGTCAGGAGTTGACATCAGTGACTAGTTGCTGGCTTATGTCCCTCTTACACGTCGTTCTTTGAAATGGTGGCGGAAATTATTTTGTCATTTGTTTACTCTTACTGTTATTCAGAGTCACATACTGCATCAGAAACTATTAGTGAAAAATGGAAAGCAACCTCTGAAGTTGTAGAATTTTATTTCACAGCTGGGGAGAGCTCTTACCTTGGATTATTTCAGCAAAAAGAGAGCAGCAACACCTTGTACTCCAAAAAAAAGTGTAGTGTCCTTGAAGCGTCTGACAGACAGACACTTTGCTTCTCCACTTTCACCAACAGCTTCAAACTCAAAACCCAGAAGAAGGTGCACAGCATGTGTACAGAAAGATAAATGTAAAAATCCAGAAAAAAAAGGCCACAAAGGGACCATGACAAGTTACTGGTGCAGGGAATGTCAGGTGCCACTTTGTATTGAACAATGCTTTGAACTGTACCATACCACTGATATATTTTGGCTGTAATATTTGACAAATGTGAGTTTTATATATCTTCAGCTGTTTTGTTGCATTGATATTCAATTGCACCCCATATTCTAACAACTTTTTTCCTTGAAATTTGTTCTTCATTCAATTCGGTGCAAATAATATCAGATAGTATGAGTGATCTTGAACAGTTGATAAGCTGTGACATTTTTTTGGGTCTGTATTGTCAGATAAAGGATTTTTCAGTTGCTTTGTTAGCAAAAATCTACAGCCACATGATGATGATTATTTCAGACAAAATAAACCCCATTTTTGTTCTTCAAATGTGTTATCGGTTCAATTTTGTGTAAAAATACAAAATATAATAAATGTTTGTTGAAAATTTTTGAAAATATAACGTTTTTTATTGGTCTATGTTGTTGTCAGATAAAAGATTTTTCAGTTGCCTTTTTTGCACCAATCTACAGCCACATGATGATGATGCAAAACAGTATAAACAACGTTTTTTCCTTGAAATTTGTTCTTCATTCAATTCGGTGCAAAAGTACAAAATATTGTGAGATTATGTCAAATAGTTGTGAAGCTATGGCATTTTTAGTACACACTAAAATACGTGGTATCTGGGGAAATGCAAGGGTTAATGGGCTTGGTAGTCAGTGGGTTAACAGATTTATATTTATTTGTCAGTTTTATCCTTTTTGAGAATAGCCTGATGACGGATCTTTAGACCCATCAAAGATGCAACCAACTGAAAATGAAACAACCAAGCAACAACCAAATTCATAATTTGTTTAAATCACCACTAACTGTTGGCATCATGAGGGCTAAAAAGCTGCAGATTATTTCTCAGCCAGAAAGAACAACAGTGGAACGTAAACTCTATGGACCACTGAATGAACTAACAACGACAGTGACATTTATGCAAGAGACAAAACTGCTGATATAGACAACTTATTTCAGGCGAATGAAAGAAGAAGATTTCTCAGCCTTTTGGCTAAGATCAAAGTGTAGCTTTGCTGCACTGGTCTGGCCAAGAGGACTGTGATCGGTCAAAAATCAAATCATGGGTGAAACGAAGTCGACAAGAGCGATCACAAAAAAACTCAAACCAGGTGGTTTCCCCATTGCCTGGATTACCAACGTAATATCCTTCAAGTAGTCGGGTGGCCATGCCGGGCATTTAGGAGACTGACCCAGGTAAAAATAAAATATACAAGTAAAAATAAAAAAGACTGCAGTTGTTGGGGCATATGTAGAGAGTTCCAGATAACAGTGATAAAACTGTCTACACAAAAGAGTTGAATGGGAGCAAACCACAAGGCAGACCAAGAAGAAGGTGGAGAAATAATGTACCTACAAACATTTGGAATCACCAAATGGAAAGAGAAGGCTGATTACAGAGATAAATGGAGGTGGATGATGTCTGCATCAGTGAACCTCTAGGGCTTCGAATGCTGAAGAATAAGTTATATCCTAAAGTCTGCAATTAATAATTCATAGTTTATCGCAATCTGTTTGCTCCCAGAAGTGACTGTTTGAAGCTATACATGCCTTCCATTTTTTCAGAAGTACTTCGTGGCAGATTTTTCTAGACGACCTGAGAAGTAAAAGGCGGTGGGCATTATATTGACTATTTCACCCACTGAATTCCCATTCATCTGTAAAAGTGTGTCAGGCATCATTGTTGCAATGTGCCTTCTTCTTCTTCCTCCTTCTCTTTTTATGCTGCTGCTCTTCCTACAGTTACTTCTGTCAAAATGTGTACATTTACTGCTTGTTCTGAACTCTTATGGAGTTGTTTGTGTGGATTTGTTCATTTTTTTTTTTTTTTAATGATACCTTAAGGCTTTGTGATTTTTCTGGCACATATTAGGCCGTTAATTAATTCAGTGAGTATAATCTCTCTTTATGTTATCCCTTAGTTTGTAAATATAATATATCTCCCTTAAATTTACGTCTTTGTGGGTTTTTCCATATTAACGGACACATTTCCTGCCATTGTCACATAAGGCATTTGACACTAGCCTCATCTTTCTGTAGACTTATCAGCATTTGTTGAGTGGTGGGGTGAATCTGGCTTAACCCTTTGGACACACAAAGTAGCCAAAAAGATGACTAACCCAATCGGTCGGCCCTATGTAATACAAGCCTTGAGATTGGCTGGCAGGTTTTCATACCAGCCAATCAGATTGCTTCCTGCATTTCTTGCACATGTAGGCTATTCATTGACAGCTTTTGAGAAAGTTTGATGTGTTCTGTAATATTACATCAATTTGTATCTGTGGTTACCTGTGTCCAACAATGGCGAAAAGGACTGTTGCATCATAGCAACCAAAACATAGCTTGAGGCAGGAAAATTAGTAGAACCATGTGCCAGAAGTGTCTGAAGGACCTCCAAGGGCCTAACTTCCCAAAGCACAAGTACTAGGACTTATTCAAGCTTCATCCATCAAAAAATTCACCCAAAATTTTTAGGTTAGTCATGTTTGTTCCCTAGTTGTTGTTTTTTAAATGCTTGCATAAATTATGCACATCAGAATACTTAATTTGAATACATGTTGAGATTTCAGTTTGGTTCATAAATATTCTGTTAGCTCATTTAATTTCCTACATTAATAAATATATATATATAGTTTTATATATGGTAATTGCTTTATTTTTTATTATTTTTTTCTATATAAACTATGAGAATCCCCTCCTGAAGGCTTCACATCTTTGGCATTGAAACTTCAAAAAGGTTCTGTCTCCAGAGGGTTAATGAGGATTCAAACTGACTTGCAAACATCTAGCCACTTCCTTTCTGTGACTCTCCTTTTCTCATATTAAATATATTTTTGATAAGCATTAATGCTATTTTGTTTGTTTGTTTTGTTTCAAGTTCTACACACTTTTTAATCAACTTTGAAAATTATCATTCTTTACTCCAGGCCAGTGCAAATGTGACCTCGGCCAGGCAGCTTTTTAAAGGTAAAATTAGTGGCCAGTTTGTCAGATATTAAATTGAGTGGTGTTCCTTTGTGGTTCCAAGGCACTTTGGAAGAGGGATGGGTGGAGCAAAGAGCATCAGCTCCTTAACAAGCTTGATTTTCCTAAATTGGATGTGTTGGGTTGAAAGATGCAGATATCACAGCATAGCTGAAAACAACACAGTGTGCCAGCCAACCTTTAATGGGCAAATACAAGAAAAGAAAAATTTACTAGTCAGAATTGAATAGTCAGTATTTAATGGCTGGGTCAGTCCATTTCTTGAGTTCACCGACAGTAAACTCCAACTGAAAGTTCTTCTTGTTTGTCAATTTCTTGTCTTTAGTCGTGTTGCAGAACTTGAGTTTTGCATGCACATTCATTTTTTACAATCTGGCTAATTTTTATGCAGACTATTTGTGCTTCACCTCTTGGCCAGATGCAGTCCACTGCAAAGAAAACTCCCCTAATTAGTTGACTTTTATGGCATGCTTGTTGTAGGGAGGGGGGGGGGGGGAGTCTGCTCTTATTCCCCTCCCTCTTTTCCGATAATGAGACCAGGTTTCAGTGAAGTCAGTTCTCTCACCTTTACGTTTACTGTCCTTCTCCAGGTATCCTTAGGTTGTTCACATCTCCTTTTCATCTGTCGTCTGATGGAGAACTGTCATTGCCAAAGTGTCATGAGTCATTTTGCAGACATGCCCAAGCCATTTCCATATTCATCATTTGATAACATGAATGAGCAGATCAACTGGCAAGTAGTACACCAATGCAAGCCGGTAGAACCATGGACAAACTAATGCTACACAGACTAAACTGGCTGATGATGACAAGTCTGATGCTACCCGATTATGTGGCCTGGGAGTGAAGTCTGACCAAGTATGTCTATGCCGTCTTATTGTCAGGATGAAAACATAACCAGTTTCTCCTGAGAATAGTCAGCAGAGGTATCTTGGAGTGGTTGTTGCCTCGGAAAATTAAGCAAACATGGGAAAGATCCATGTGCAGTGACATCAATTGTGATAACAAAACATATGAGAAGCTTTAAATAAAAACTTTAAAAAAGTGTGATAGAAATTACAGTAACCAAACCATTATCTTGTAAACCTGTCAATATTATTGTTAAGAATGTCAAGAGTATTAGGCAGGTGACATAACCATGCAGATGAACATGGTGACCTCATATTGACTGTTTAACGATGGCCACCCCTCTTTCGACATACATCATAGAGGAGCAGTGTTCTGTTGGTATTTATTTTTTTAATCAGTGAAGAGGATGAAACTTATAGAAATCCAATCAGCAAATGATGTCCAGTGATGTTCATTATGTCACTTGCTTAACACTCTTGACATCCTCAACAACTATATTGACAGGCTACAAGACAGTGGCATAGTTGTAATTTCTATAACATTTTTAGGATTTTCATTTGAATCCCCCAAGTGACAGAAAACAAAATACCATGGTCAGAGATTGATTTGTGGACCTTAGTTTAAGTAATCCCCGGAAAGGCTAGCCCGATCAACAAATGCTTGCAGAAGTCAGATGTGTCGGCCAGAAGAGGCAGATATCAAAGTCATGTTGTCTTTGCCTTAGTCAAGGCTTCAACTTTACTGCAGTCAGGTTTCCCCATACTTGCTCCTTTCCTGTGCCAGTGCAAATCAAATGAAATGTCTATCACTGTTGCATTTGAAAAACTGATGAATAAACAGTTCAGCCACAGAACAATCCAGAAAAATGTGCATGTAGTAAATGCAGATTTCATTTGCTAGAGGTGATAAAGGCAACAGTCGACACCAGAAATGCAGTTTGTCATTGATGAAAGTAGTTGGGCAGGATAAGCTGGCTATATTACACACATACAGAATTATTAAGGTATTTCACCAGCTCACATGTAAACCAGCTACCGGCCATATTGAATACCACGACACAGCCTCTACACAAATGAAAGGCATTCCACAGGAAAAACACAGCTCGCTGGGCTGCACCAAGCATTAAACTCAGTAGCTCAGTCGGCGAAACGGTAGACTACAGTCCGTATGTGGAAATGAATTAGCAAAGCGCTGTCGGAAGCAAAAATAACTTCAAAGCCTAACATTCTGTCATGTATTTATGTAAGTAACTTGTACCCCACCAGGACATCACACAAGCGATAAACACCCAGTAACACAGGGTGCCACCATGTGGATGAGGATCACCCCTGGAGATGTCCCGGAAACCCTGTTCAGCGGTTACGCCATTTTTCAGGCCCGGCTATATTTAGGACCCCTACAAGAGCCAGGGTGGGGCTTCAAAATAACTACAAATTGCATCCCACAAGAGGATGATGAGATTACAGATGACATTATTCTGTCATGCCATAAATGCTGCTTAAATACAGCCATGCTGTAAACAGGCGAAACACAGTTCGGATGAATTTAGAAGAAGAAGGAATATCAGTAATCAGCAACACTCAAAACTATGCCATCACAGCTCCTGTATCTTACTGCCAGCTAATTTTGACTATTTCCCTACAGGTTATCACTGGGAACCAGAGGTCTTGTGTACCGAAATCCTGCCATTTATCAGTGTGACCAATCCTACCCTGCATGATACAGGTCAGTCAAAAATTTGTAGGTGTCTTCAGTTGTAATCTTCTCTTATTATGTAACATGGGGTTCTACTTGATGAAGTGATCAAGCTGTTTGCCCTGAAGGTTGTGGGTTGTTTTAAAGACTGCATCATTTGGTTCACTTGTACAGTTTCTATGGAGATGCCTAGGAATAGTTGCTGAATCTATCGTTTCATCCTATTTATGCCCAGTGTGCCTGAAGGTGTGAAAAAAGGTCCTTACTCTTAAATGACATGAAGAGAAGTATCTGGCCAAGGATTTAGAGTGATAGACCTTCATTCGCAAGACTCAGGTTTGAACCTTTAGTAAGGTAGGAGGCGCCTTTTTTAAGTAAGGCCCATTTTAACTGCAGCGACAAACACTAATGAAAAATGCAAATGTGCATTTGCAGTATGTTTATGTGGTTCATCAGCTAGCTGTGTGCTATTTTTTCACTGTCTAAATCTTGTTTGATGCTGTGTGTGAGTGATTTATAAGGAGTGCAAAAGTCAATACTCCGGCCAGCTGTGATGTTTATGCTGTGATCTGTTTTTTGTTATTAAAAAACAACAGTACTGCATAAAATTCACAGGCAACTCATTGAGGTTTATGGGCCATCTGTTATGACTGATAGTATGGATAGGAAATGGTGTCGAATGTTTAGAGAAGGGCGACCGAGTATGGTGACAGACAATTTGGTCAAAAAAGTGAACCAAAAATATTCAGGAAAATCATCATTTTTACAGTTTCTGTGTTTTCAGAAGTTTCACGTTCACTGATTTACGAAATTGACAAGAATCCTTGGATGCAAAAAATTGTATACCGGCAGATGCTCCCCAGCTTTGGTGGGAAAAAAAATCCCTGCTTAACGGGGAGACATTGCACCTGTTCTTTTTATGGTTTAGTTTCCTTCTCAGACAATAGCACACTCATTTCGATCATGCAGGGGAGGTGTACAGTTCTGGTGCTGCCTGAGCTACTATCATTGTTGAGATTTGCTGTGACACTTTCAGATTTGAATTATTTATTGTAATACACAACAGTCACACAACCCACCCCTGCTGGACTACAGGTTTATGTCACTTGCTTAACACTCTTGACATCCTTAACAACTACATTGACAGGCTACAAGACAGTGGCATAGTTGTAATTTTTATAACATTTTAAGGATTTTCATTTGAATCCCCCTAGTGACAGGGAGAAAAAAAAAACAATTGTTAGAGATTGATTTGTGGACCTTAGTTTCAGTAATCCCCGGGAAGGCTAGCCCGATCCACAACTGCTTGCAGAAGTCAGATGTGGCTAACCATTTCGTGGTGCCCCAGTATAACTGTGCAGTATGGTTGACGGTTGAACAGAGTTTCCAAGATTTGTAACTGTTTGATTCTCACCCTTGAGATGTTAATCCTACAGAATGCAAATCTGGAGGGAAAAAGCTTTTTTTAAAAGAAAAAATAACTAGTTAAGTTGATACAGCTGTGCTTCTAAAATGTTAGGATCTAAAGCATTGTAAATACCAGTGTATTTTTCAATAACTTGGCAAACAGTAGTAATTAGTTTTGATATAATTAAATTGTTCTTCTGCTCCCTCTTCTTCTGTCCACTTGAAAAGGATTGTCTGTCGGTAGGTTAGTTTTTTTTAGTGAATTTCATAATTGCTTTTTTTCCCCACTCAATGGTCTATGGTGTTTAGTATCCACTGTTAATTAGCTACTGTTTTTTGGCGTACTATACTATTTACTGGCGTAATGCTGCCCACATTACCCACCTAGTGCCGATTGGTCTGTAAAAATATGGGACGCTCTTCCCATATGTCTGATGCGCCTAAGGCGTGAAAAGGGATCTTTACTTTACTTTACTATACTATTGATCTTTTTGTGGATTTTTAACATTTTTTGTTGATTTTCTCTCTCTCTTTCTCTCTCTCTCTCTCTCTCGCCCTCTCCCTCTCTCTCTCTCTGTCTCTCTCTCTCTCTCTCTCTGTTTCTGTCTCTCTCTCTCTCTCTCTGTGTGTGTGCGTGCGTGCACGCGCATGTGTGTGTGTGTGTGTTTGTTTTGTTTTTTTCTCGCTTTTTTTTCCCCAAATATTGATGTTATACCATATATCTGTAACAGGTCAGATAGCTTTTGTTCAAGAGATGACTCAGTTTTCTCAGAGAAAAGCGGTGTTCAGGTAAACATTGTTTTCTGTATTTACTCCGGTAAATGTTTTCATTGGCAGTGTAGTAGATAATCTGTTAGATTACAGTAGCCTGAGTTTAATCATCAGTGGAGTGGAGACTTATTTTGACTGTCCTTGGCTGTTGAGTTGCACAATTTTGGTATAACCTAGTTATAAATCCCCTGGAAGACCGAGTTTAATTCTAAAGTCTGATGCTTTGGCATTTACATTCATTTGAGCTTTCAAAAGAATTTGCATCTGTTTGAGTCGGGTGGGTGTAGAGACTTTTCTCCTGGCCTAGTACTGAAATACCATCTTCTCAGTGACTGTTTTACAGAGCTACCTTTCCACTGACCAATCTCAGAAACCAGTGGAGTGCAGCTCTTTCCCTTGACCAGTCTCAGAAACCAGTGGAGCTCTTTCCACTGGCTAGTCTCAGAAACCAGTGGAGCTCTTTCCACTGGCCAGTCTCAGAAACCAGTGAAGCTCTTTCCACTGGCCAGTCTCAGAAACCAGTGAGAAGCTCTTTCCCCTGACCAGTTTCAGTAAACTAGCAGTATTCACAAGAAGCCTAGCTTAATGCATTGGTATCGTTTGCACCTGTGCAAACATTTAGGATTACTGGGAATTATTATATTTGCTAAAAATAGCATTTGGAAGTGTTTTCTTGTGAAAAAATAGCTTTTTTAGATAGAAGTTATGATAGAGCTGTTATATAGTGCTATTCAGGGAATCAGAAAGATTTAGAATTAAAACAACAATGACACTTTTGTAAGGTAAAGGAAGTTTTGTTGTTGTTGTTGTCATTGGGCCAGTCAGCACTTGATTGGCCATCTAGTTAGCATTGTGCTAGCCACTTTTACTTCCCAGAATGTTAGACCCATTTTGGAGAAGGGGAGGGAGATAGATCCACTCCCCTCTAAGAAGCATGCTATAGGAGATGACTAATTATGGGTACTTGCTTTAAAGTTGGAGACCATCTGTCAGAGAGAGGAAACCAACAATCTACATATAAAGAAGCCATATATCTCAGGTTGGTTTGCATGCAGAGCTCAAGTTCTGGAACAAGTCCAAAGTCCTGAAGTGGACGAACAGCCAAAACATTCCACCAGAGTTTACAGCCGGTGAAGACTAAGAAGAAGAAATCTAATACAAGGCTATTCAGGTTGAAAGTACTCTATGAAAGAAGGTTGTGGACAAGCTTTACCAATGCCACACAGGAAGGACTATAAGAAGAAAAAACTGTTTTATGATAACACATTTACAGAATTATAATTTCAAAAGATTAGTATAATATTTAAAACTATATACATTTGTCTTTTTAGGCCACACTCTGAAAGACTGGATGAAAGAGATGTTATTGCAGATGCCGAGAACAGTGTAGACTTGAAAACCAGTTTCAGAATTTCAATCAGGAATGCAAAATGTTACAAATGACATTAATTCGGGTAGAATCTCTAATGAAGAAGATGATTGTGTTATTACCAACAGTCAGACATGTGTTGCAGGCTTAGATAATGAGGAAGAAGTGATCATTGAGGATTTTGATGATGACTTTGCAGAACATTTTAATGATGACTTTGCTGAACATTTCAATGACGACTTTGCTGAACATTTCAATGATGACTTCTAGCTAAGGATTTCGGTGACTACATCAAGCTGAGGATTTTCATGATGACCTCTAGCTGAGGATCTTAATGATGACTTCTAGCTGAAGATTTTGGTGATGACTTCTAGCTGAGGATCTTGATAATGACTTCTAGCTGAAGATTTTGGTGATGACTTCTAGCTGAGGATTTTCATGATGACCTCTGGCTGAGGATCTTGATGATGACTTCTAGCTGAGGATTTTGGTGACTACATCTAGCTGAGGATTTTGGTGATGACTTCTAGCTGAGAATTTTATGATAATATTTAGCAGAGGGTTTTCCTGCTGACCTTTAGCTGAGGATCTTCATGATGACTTCTAGCTGAGGATTTTCATGATGACTTCTAGCTGAGGATTTTCATGATGACTTCTAGCTGAGGATTTTCATGATGACTTCTAGCTGAGGATTTTGGTGATGATCTCTAGCTGAGGATCTTTATGATGACTTCTAGCTTAGGATTTTCATGATGACTTCTAGCTGAGGATTTTCATGATGACTTCTAGCTGAGGATTTTCATGATGACTTCTAGCTGAGGATTTTCATGATGACTTCCAGCTGAGGATTTTGGTGATGATCTCTAGCTGAGGATCTTTATGATGACTTCTAGCTGAGGATCTTTATGATGACTTCTAGCTGAGGATTTTCATGATGACTTCTAGCTGAGGATTTTCATGATGACTTCTAGCTGAGGATTTTCATGATGACTTCCAGCTGAGGATTTTCATGATGACTTCTAGCTGAGGATTTTCATGATGACTTCTAGCTGAGGATTTTCATGATGACTTCAAGCTGAGGAGTATGATTGGGACATCTAGCATTTATAATCTTCTTCAGCACAAGCCAGTTGATAATTTCAACATCAGTGCTGTGCAGTTGATAATCTGCCTCCACCATTGCCATTTTCTGTGCTTTTGCTATATTGGAGCATTGATCATCTTCTGTGTCACTCTATCATCCAGTCTGGCATTGTCTGTCTCTGTCAACAACTGTTTCTACTACCCTCAGTTTTTCAGGCTATCATAATGTTATCCAGATCAGTTAAAAACATGAAGTCTTAGTTATTGCTGTCACTTCTTGTTTATTTTTTCTAAGTATCTCTTATTCTAACTCTTTTTCTTTCTTCCTCTCTCTTCTTCTCTGTGGCCAATATATTTGCCTCGTGCTCTGAAGGTCATGGGAAGATTTCCCTGTTGCGTCTTTTGGTTTACAAGTGTAATTTTTATGGAGATCTTTGGGTATCGTCACCAGAACTACGGTGTTTGTGAGTTGTGTGGCACCATCAGCAAGTGGCTAGCTATCCTGTAGAGAGACACTCAGTCGTATGGGATAAAATCAGGTGCATTGAAGTTGATCTTTTTGACTTTAACCTTTAACTTTAACCTTCTCTGTTTTTCTATCCTGCACTATATATATATATATCTTTGAATATCTCTGTTTCACCCTTTCTTGCACTATAAATATCAGTCTAAGTCACACTAAATACCTTTGTCACTTTCTCCTTTTTCTTTCATACTATATATATATAATCTTCCCCCCCCCCCCAACCTCTTTCTCAGACAGATAGCAGTTTATAGAAAGTTGAATTAAGAATTGACATCGCAGAACTCGGGACATTCCCTGTATGCGCTACATCCCCATCTTCAGCAGCAAGCAAAGAGTTCCTGTTCTGATGGCACCACTAACTGCATGACTTTACATCCGTCTCGCCTTTCCCATTGAGTGTTGAGAGTCAGCCAGTTTCCCTGGTAACTCCTAGCAGTGCTATTCTCCTCAGACTGTAATGATCGGTTTTTGCCTCCGCATTGTTCACTCGCTTCCAAAAGGCCCTCACAATATCCAGCTTGTCATACATCAGTTCACCACCAAGTGGTGCAGAACGGGTTAGTCTATCTGCCTGCTCATTTTCCAGCACACTGGCATTACTTGGATAATATATCCAAAGAACTCTAATTACTCAGTACCTCTTAAGCGATGCTTGCCACTCTGCACTTTTTTCAAAATGCTCTGTGAGTCAGTTACAATTACAACATGTGTGTACTGCTGATTCTCAAGCCATTGGAAGGGAGCGGTGACTGCCTCCACATCCATTCTCAAACAAGACGTTTTAATATTATATGCCAGGTTTTGTTGCACAAAGCGACGTCTGTTCGCTTTTGCTATGAACTCCTACGCACTTTGTCTGCCTTTCAACACAGAGTCAACTGTATAGATAATCACATCATTTGGGCGGGAATTGTCATGAATCCTTTGGTGAACTTCTGATTCTGCAGCACCAGCTGGCCAGTCTCTGCACTCACGACCTAAAGTGATTAGAACCCTACAGAGCTGTTAATTTAAAGTAACAAATACCATTCACACAAAAAGTCACTCTTTTCTCTCTGAACAGATAACTCCTCCACGAATACACTTTTATTTCAAAATTATTTAGTTATTTTATGTTAATTAATATAAAACTCTAAACTCATAATTTGGTGAACACATTAAATATTTTCATATTTCGTTTTTCAAAGTGGATTTTTATGTGTTACAATTAACTGCCTTCTTCTTTACAAATTTCATTCATCCAAGATGTACAATTTTTCTGGTATCCTTTGTTTGTTGTTTAAGTGTCATTTGTTAAGTCAGCTGATTTGCTGTATTGTGTTTAGAGTTTAGGCTTACATGCCATCTATGAGATATCATAATCATGGCATTATGATCAAATGTTTTATTTTGTACTAGTTTGTTAGGTTTGTGAGCCGGTGCATCTGATTTTGACATGTATTTTAGAAAGATTTGTTTGCCAACTCATGCCTTCCCCTTTATAGGTTTGTTCATAATTAGTTGCCTGTAAAGGTTAGTTATTAGTTAGTTGCTTATCCTTTACAGGACGTTGCAGAACCAACCCCAACAGCCCTGGCTGTAGTGTGGTTTTTCTAGGCAAATTCACGTCCAGTAGTTTGCCATTGCTTTCTGGACAGTCGGCTTTCTTGATACCACTGTCGAAACCAACGCAAGGCGCATGGCCCACAGTTGGTATCAAACCTGGCATTACGAAGCGTTCGCATTGACTTAGCCACAGAGCCCAGAGCCGACAGCTGTATGTAAAGCTTACTAATAATTCTTCGGCTCTACTGTCAAATTTGGCCGGTAAGCTGGACTGCTTCGGCCGGCTTAGCGGGGCTTAGTGGGAGTTATGTCCCTTGGCCAAACTCAAAACAACTCAAAACAGGTCGCGGAAAAAGTCAAATCAAACGGCATACTTACCTATCAACATCCGGGTACGTGTAGGGTTGCGTAGGGTGTCTATCATCGTCCTACGGTTGCGTGTAGGGCTGCTTATTGCGTGTAGGTTGGTTGTTTGCGTAAGATGAGGGGTAGGGTTAGGGGTTAGGGTTAGGGTTTAGGGGTTAGGGTTTAGGTTTAGGGGTTAGGGTTAGGGGTTAGGGTTTAGGGTTAGGTGTAGCGTTAGATGTGACAATTGTGACGCCGTAGGTCCCTACAATCGCGCACAGTCGCATGCATTCACAAACAGTCGACGGACGGTGGATGCTACTGACATGGACAATTCGCCACCGATTGGGGCACCAGCCGCCGCGTGCTATTGCCGTCATATGTGGCACACTTCCAGTGGCGCCACTTCCACAAGCATCAGATTGGCGGCCAGTATTTCGACCTTCTACATGAATATTTTCACATCTAACCCTAACCCTACCCCTAACCCTAACCCTAACCCTACCTCCTAACCCTCCCCCTAACCCTAACCCTAACCCTACCCCTAACCCACACCCCTAACCCTACCGCTAACCCAAACCCTACGCAACCGTATGATGATGATGATAGACACCCTACGCATCGCTACACGCCACCGTATGATGATGATAGACACCCTACGCAGCCCTAGGCGCAACCGTATGATGATAGGTAACCCTAGACACAACCCTACGCAGCCCTACACGCACCCGGATGATGATTGGTAAGTATGTCATTTGATTCGTGACTTTTTCCGTGACTTGTTTTGAGTTTGGCGAAGGGACGCGACGGGACATAACTCCCACTAAGCCCCGCTAAGCCGGCCGAAGCAGTCCAGCTTACCGGCCAAATTTGACAGTTGAACCAATTCTTCTCCCTCCTCTTCCTCTGTGTTGACCGTTAGAAAGGTTGTTGGTACTTTATTTCATGTTTTACAGCTATGTTGGGATATCTGCTTGTTGGCTCAACATGTCTAATTTCATCAGTTGAGTTGAGTTGAATCAAGAACTGACACCACAGCACTCTGGGCATTCCCATGCATGCTCCGTCCTCATCTTCAGCAGCCAGCGCAGAGTTCCAGTCCAGCCAATCTTCTGCCTGTTCATTACCCACCATGCCAACATAGCCGAGAGAAAAGATCCAAAGTATATCTCATCTAATTTCTAATGTCTAATTTCATCAACCTGTAACAAGTTTAATATGCGTGTTGGATGGGGGAGTGGGGTGGGGGGGCTACGGAGGGGGGGGGGGGGGGGGGGGGGGGGGGGGGGGGGGGGGGGGGGGGGGTTTTCCAGTGTGTGGTTTTTTTTTACTGGGCCCTGGAACCCACGTGTGAATACATGTCACTACACTGGAAGCAGAAATGGAGGCCATCCATCAAGCGATGGATAAGTGGAATATCTGAGGCCGTGAACACCAGGATTTACAGTGCTCATAAAGACCTTCACAGAATGCCTCTTTAAAACCTGGTAAAAGTCAAGTAAAGGGCTCTTTTTTACGTATTCGGGCCTATTGGACATATAGAACTAGACTGATGTTTCATAGGCTGCCTTCATT